GCGGAGCGGCGGGAGCCCCACGCCGGGCCCGGCCGCAGCCCGGCGGGGAGCGGGAGCCTCCGGCCTGAGCCACCCCCGGGCTGTGAGAAGGGAAACGCTAAGTGCAGGCACTTTTTTTTTTTTTTTTTATTAGAAAAGGAGAGGACTTGGACAAGTCTGTCCTTTCCTCCGGTTCCGTTGGGATCCGGGCTGGCCATTCACTTTCCTCCTCTCCATCTGCCCATTTTTTTTATACCGGCTTTTTTTTTTTTTTTTTTTTTTTCTTCAACGGGCAGTTTAGAAGACTTTTTAGATGCGTGTGGCGAAGGGGACAGATCTCCCCCCCCGCCACCCCCCCGGGCTCAGCACCTCGCGGCCCCACCATCCATCAGCTGCTTTGAAGGCAGATAATCGCGCAGCTCCCTAAATTGCAGCCGGAGGAGGTTAGAAATCGCCCCCGCTCCTCGCCCGGGTGCGGGAAAGAGAGCGAGCCCCAGAGCCAGGTCGCAGCGTGGCTGCGCACTGCTGCCCTCAAAGTGTGAAAACCGTGTTGAACTTTAAATCTCTCTCAAAAACAAAATCCAAGGCACCACACAACCAAAAATAATAGCCTCTCTCTGCCTTGCTTCTCTTCCCAACAGCAGCGAGCTGTCTTTGCAGGGACGGCATAATGCTCGTTTGGACAGCAAACCGGTTAAGGATGGGGTGTGGGGGAAAAAAAGGCAGCAAATACAGTGACTTAAAACCAAAATCCCCTCTTAAATCTCAGCCGCATCCCTGCCTTGTCAGAGCCAGCTGGGCCAGCCACTGGGCTGGGGAGCTGGGAAGGGGCTGTTGCCCGTCCCAGCCCCCCGGCTGCATGAGTCAGGCCCGGAGAACAAGCTCGTACCCTGCTGCCCTGAGAAGGGGGGACAGGAGTTTGCAGAGGAAAAGGATGAGAGAGCCTGGCTTTCCCTGTATAGCCTCCCCCCTTGCCAGTAAATGCTATGGCTGCAGAAAGCCTGAGAGGAATATTGTTTGTGGGAACTGCCACCGCATATTAATGTCCCCTCATGCATGCATTGAATAAATCACTAGGGCTAATTGAACAACAACAACAAAAAAAAAATAGGAAAAACAGGCCTTAGAAAAGCCCTCCAGATTCCCACCGCAGAACTGTGTCAGCGGCGGGGCAGACCCGCTGCACGGCGAGGGCGGCTGCGGCGGCCGGTGCCTTTGCAGCGCCCGGTCCCATTCCTGAGGTTTAATTTAGCCCATGTAAAAGAAAAGATAAAGGCAACCGAGCACCCCCACGGGCGACGGCTCGGGCTAGTGGGACTGGGACCCGCCGGCGCTGGGAGGGACGAGGCCGGCTGAGCCCGGCCCGGCGGGACGCAGCGGAGCGGGACTGCGGGGCTGCCCTCCCGGCCGGGGGTCGGGCTGCTTTCCCCTGACCGGCTCCGGGGGGGGACTCCGACATACCGAGGGGGGCGAACACCCACCCGCACTTGTGCTCGGCCCGGCCTGCGGCCGAGCAGGGCTCTGCCCCGGCGGCGGCACCGGGGACAGGCGGCCCGGCGGGGGTCGGGGAGGGCAAGGCCTGCC